AACCGAAAGAGGTGATGCGGTTATCTTCAGATGGATTGTGCCCGTGAATCTTTCGCATTTGCAACATATAAACCAAAATCAGAAAGGAAAGTTAAAAAGTTTGTTCATTCATTATATAATAATGTTCAAAAATATGATAACTCAGTATGTGGTAAATATATTGACCCTTCAGAAGTTTTCAAGAAGCAAATGAAGAAGTTGATATCACTTTTGATATGATTTATTCCGGTAAATGATTTGTTAGCATTTCAGGCGTTCGATGATTATCCTAAATCATTTGGTGAAATCATTCTTAAATATTATGTTTTCAGGGATACTTTAGTATTTTGTCAGGTTGACCCGTTAAGAGTTGCTGATTTACAAAATTACGTTTATGAAAAGATAACTGATGAAAATTATGAAAGATTATGAAATCATGTTTATAAATATGATCGCAAATTCCAACAAATCGGACTTCCTGCCAAATTAATTACAAGCTTAGCCGCTGCATCTGCTGACGCAACAGTTGATGACGTTATTATTTCATGCACAAAGATGGAAGTTTTAGAGGATAAATGCATTACACCAGGATACGTTTAATTGAAGAATCAGTTAAAGCAATACCACGTTTATTCAGTAAGGAAGATCCATTCATGATTCCAGCTCAACATATTGACGTTCGTTCACTAAATGGAGGATGCATCACTCCTGAAGGTATCAGCTCAGATTTCTCATACGCTCTTCATAATGTTACAGATGTTGTGTTAGCATTTCCGAAGAATGCAATGCAAAGAACAGTTTTAGAAAATCCAATGCTTCGAGGTCTTCAGGTCACTATAGATTCCAGAAACTTCCCCGATCAAGCGATGACCACAGTGGGTGACATATTCTTTACACGTATGCTTCAAGCTTCTGATTTAGATGGAGTGAATGAATGCAACGGAAGAATTACGAGGACTCATTAACTAGACCACTGAATGCAGATGATGGCACGCCATTAGCTAGAACATGGAAAGACCAAACTTCATTCTTATGCACTATTCCAGTTCAACGTGATGGAGCGGGTATATTCTTTGATGGATTAGAAACTTTCAACTCACAAGTTACAGTACAAGTGAAAGCTTATCCAATCATTCAGGGTGAAAATGACACTTACTGTTCAAAGGTGACAAATCCTCCTCAGGTTTTTACTAGGACTACATATTGGACATGGACACCGGATGAAGGTTTGAAATATCATCCAACAGGTACACCACCACAGTATAGAAGTTCATATGATGAAATATTGATGAATAGAAATGTTTAAAATTATAAATTTATTTTTGATTAAATGGATTTAAATTCATCCACCCCTTATGAAGAATTAGCAGGAGTATATAATACATACGTAGATGATATGATTAATGAAGCATTGAGTGATAATAGAAATGCTCTATTCTAAGGAAAAATTAATGAAAATTCCATATTCTGAATGTTACTTAAATTCAATCACTGCAGCAATTGGTAAACAGAATAAAGGTAAACATTAACGATATTAAAACAAATTATCATTATTGCTAACAATTCCCCCATTCACATGTGTTAATTTATATCAACCGTTCAGGTTCACCTTCAGATGATACATTTGAATCTTTAAAGCATTTAATCAAATTCCAATTATTTATTTATCACAAGAAGAAGCAGAAGATTATTTAAAAAACTTTTTAATGGTATAAAGAATTATATAATACAATCAAGAAGCAAGGATTAGAGGATAAAATTATTGATAAACAACGGGATGAATTATTTGAAACACTTTCTATTTCAAATTTTGATAGAGAATTTTTGCATTCACTCATTTTTTCTAGATGATGCAGTGAAATCAAAACTAATAACAAATGAGAAATCATATTTTAATCAATATTAACTCAATGTCGACACATTCAGTGTTCATTCTTCATGGCTGTTCAATACTTCAAAGCATTAAGCACAAACATTAAATCAAATCTATCAACCCTTTTCATTTTCAGTGGGTTTAGTCGTCAACAGTTGAACGTTATGCTTTATCAAGTGAATTTACCAATGAGCATTAATGAACTTTACACACAATATCAGCAATTAGGTGAACATGGAAAAATAATAGTTGATTTAAATAAAGGAAGTGTTAAATTTGATTAACTTTTTATAATTAATTTTTATTTTTTATTTATAATTAAACATGACAGAAATAGCAAATCTTCTACAGGTTCCATTAAAACAAGGAACAAACAAAAAGGGTGCATATAATAGAACTATGAAAGTTCCTGATGGATGAAAGAATTAGTTCATATTGTTGCTGGTCTTCAAAAAGATGTTAAACAAATGAGAAACGTTTTAACATTACCAGAAGCTCAAGCATATGCCAAACGTCAAGGTCCAAATTGGGAAGCACACGAAGCAGACATTACAGGTCCAAATGGAAAACCTGATGGTATAAATGAAGTTTTCGTTACTGATGGTCAAGGTAATATTAAAGTCATAAATGGTTACAAATTAACTATAACTGATTATCCTAAACGTAAAGCATATAATGAACGTTATCCTATGCAATTTGATGAAAATGGAAAAGCTGTTAAACAATACATTGGAGAAGGTGAAAATGGTCCAATTAATTCATACCGTTATAATCCATATTCTTATTTCAATGAAGAATTAAATGCTATTGAAGAGGGACCGGATGGATTACCACGATATTCTAACCAGTTTGATGGTCAATATGCAAATATTAGACCTGAAATTTCAGCTAAGAAATTCTTTAAAGTTGCTTTATTCGATCCAGTTTTCGCAAATGTTAAAGATGAACTTAAACAGCAATTCCAACCAATTATAGTAGCAAGAATTGCATCAGGTGCTTTATCTCAAGCATTCAAAGATTTAATTAAGAAACCATTATATCAGCAACGAGGTTTAACTTATGATTTAGTTAAGGAATCAGATAAAAGAAAATTTGAGAAATCAGATGATTATAAGAATGCAATTAATGAATATATTAAGTCTATTAATTACAATGAAACAGCTAAAAATCAACTTAATGAACAAATACAGGGAATAATAGATTCAAAAGTTCCAGCAAAATAAAAGTTTAAATATATTTTTTTTATTCGAATATAAATGAGAAGACGATTCACTAGTCAAAAGAACACTAACGCAAAAGCAGAGATTACGGTTGGTTATAACGTAAATGATGATAAATCACGAATTATTCAAAATGTTAAAGTTAATGTTAGCCCTGAATTAACAAGGTCATCAACTCAACCAAATTTATTAACTCGTGACTTACCGAAGAATGAAGAAAACCATGAGAATGGAGACCCAATCATTTTATCTGAACCTGGTAAAGAACCTGTTGAAATTCCCACTTATCCAACATACCCCCCACCTCTTTCATCAAACATCGAGAACCCATATAAAATAGACATTAATTCTGAATTAATGAAAATTTACCGTGATATAATAATTAATAATTATGATTCAATAATAAATTTAATTGACCAATCTGGTTTAATTATTTTACCTTATGAATCATTAATTCACATTATCGCCATTCTTTGTGATGTTCAAGATTCAGACGTTAAGATTCAATTTTTCATAGATGATGAGGTTTCATGCTGCGGAACAGTTGCAAAAATAAATCCTATAAAGGATATTAGCACAATTAAGATATCAAAGAACGGAACAACAACTGAACTTCATTTAACATATAATGATATTTATAATAAAATAGTTGATGAATATAAAATATCACTTGAAAAATTCTTTGTTAAGGCCATTTAATATTCAAGCATTAACATTATTGAATAATAATCCTTTGAATCATAATCAATAATAATTGACCTTTCACCAGTTTCTATCGTTTGTTTTATTTCTTTTTGTTCCCCACTATCCGGATCGGTCATTGTAATTGTTTTTGTTATAGTATCAGCTTTATCTTTAACTTCAATCTTTTTTCCATCGGGATATTTAAACCAAAATTCCAAAAATTCGATATTGTCAATCTGTTCATATTTTAATCTATCAATTACATTTTTAATACCATCTGAAAATCTTATGAAATGGTCATTATATGGGTTTGATTGAACTAAATTTGAATGAAGTGAAATATAACCCGATGATGAATATGACACGACTCATATTTTCTGAAAACACTAAAATTTATAACATGAATGAATTTCTTATTCGTTGAATTTATGAATTCTTGAGGTAATCTTATTCTAGTTTTATTTATCACTGGAAAATAACGCTTTACCATATTTTTAATCGTAATAAAAATGTCAATTATCAATATTATTTCGAATAATAACTGTGAATTAAATTTAACAGTTAGCGGAATTTATAATGTTACTCTCGTTTCTGTGAGTGGTAAATTTAATCCCATTCTTTTAGACCCTTCAGATTATATATCATTTATTAAAGATGACCATGAAAAAACGTATGATATGTATATAAATAATGTGATAGCGAAATGGGATATTAACATGATTTTAAGTTATTTAAATGAATCATTTATCGTATGGTATGAAGAAAATTTTAAATCAAAACCCGATAAACTTTTTGAACTTGATGAAATAAATAACCTTATTAAATCCCCGCTGAAAATTAAATTTTGTACTCCTCATCTTCGTTCATTGTTGGGGATATTAAATTTTGAAAAAGATGTTGGGGATGTTTTGTATTCTGACACTGGTTCCAATTTCATTTTAATCAAATGTGATAAAGTTAATACCCCAATGAGATTTTCACATCAAACATTAGACCCTAACTCTTACCCATCAATACAAAACATTTTATCCATCAACTTAAACATATTTTCTTTATCATATCCGTTTCAATTATCCGGGAATTCATTTATTCTTCATTCAAAAGATTTATCAAATATTAAATTTAGAATAACTGACCTATTTGATTGTGATTTAGAATTTATGAATGAAATATTATGGCAATTTCAAATAGAGAAAATAGCTGATGAGATAACGGATTAAATATTTATTTTTAAATCATAATAAATGATTAAACAACAGCAACCACAACAACTTAAGGCGCAAAGCGCCCAGGTCCTTCAGACCATTACATACGCCATATATGCATATAATTCAAAGATGGCAGAACAAACGCAAAGGTTGAAATATGGAGATTTGGAGATAGTATTGAAAAATGACCGTTTCGAATTCGTTTGCAAAGGTGGTGCAGTGATATCAAATATAAAAGAAATTTTATTTATGAATTCAAAAATTAAAGGTATAACGGATGATATAACATCAATTCCATCAGAAGAACAGAGATATTACGCATTAAATGCATTTCCTAAAGTTTTGAAGATTGGAAGATTTAATTTAAATGAGGAATTCATAGAAGGTTTCCTAAACGACATAATGAAGAAGGTGGATAAGGAATATGTGGATAGTGAATTAAATAAGAAAGCAGATTTAGTTTATGTTGATGAAAAAGATAATGAAATTAAAGAAAAGGTTGAATGGTATCATGAATGGACATTGGAGACTTTTAAAGTTAAAGCTGATACAGAATGGGTTTCAGGATGTTTAGACCTTAAAGCAGATAAAACTTATGTTGATGAAAATTATGCAAAGAAGTCGGAAGTAAATGATGTGATTACAAGCATGAAAAATGAAATACTTCAAACATTATATCCTATAGGCTCTATTTATACATCAATGAATTCAACAAATCCAGCAACAGTTTTAGGTTTTGGTACGTGGAAGCAGATTGTAGATAAATTCTTATATTGTGCTAGATATTCAAAGCAAACAGGAGGTTCGAAGAAAATTAAAGAAGCAAACCTTCCACCGCACACTCATACAGGAACTACAAACTTTTCTGGCGACCATAGACACTCATTAAGAGACCGCCCATTATACAACTCAGACTATGAAGCTGGCAATGATGTTTTATCTCCAGCTTATAACGATTCAACAAAAAAGACTTTTCGACAAACTGAACCAGGAGGAAATCATGTCCATACTTTCACAACAAATCCAACAGGCTTGGGTAAAGATTACATGCCACCATTTGTGACTGTATTTGCATGGTACCGCGTTCATTGAACGCGCTTGAGCCCAGACCTTTGGGTCAAGGCTTACCGAATGAACTAAATATATTTTATGTCTGTAATTAATTAGGTAATGAAGTAATGGATGAACTGCAGAAATAACTGATAACAAAATTTTATTTTTATATAAATGGATACCCCACAAGCTCAAAATTTACCACGAATCATAACAAGGGAGGAAATGATAAAAATGATGCAAGAACGAATTAAAAACAACAAACCACGAAAACCGAGAAGATGCGGTTATGCAGTAATGATGGAAAGAAGAACCTAGAAGGGTTCGGGAAGAGGAATAAAAATTAAATTTAGATTGAGTTTAAAAATTCATCTTTATTAAATTCATCTCTTCCAATCAATTTATTTATTCTATTAAATTCTTTTATTTTTGCTTCACTCAGTTTAAGGATTGAACGGTAAGTTTCTAATTTTTCGATTATTTCTTTCCTCTCTTTATCGTTTTCAGCCCCACCGCATTGCGGCTTCTTTTTGTAATAGCATATTTTTGATTTAATTCTGTTTAGTTTCTTTTTATATTCATTGTCTGGACTCTTGGCTGCTTTGTTGTCACTCATTTCTTACGAAATAAAAATTAAATATTATTTAAATATAATGGAGTAATAAAATAAATCGGAATTTCTATTAATTTATTGTCAACTTCAATGAATGCATTGCCGTTAATATATCTAACAAATTCAGCTATTGTGTCAAATCTTCGTCTTCTTTTTGTCATTGATTTATCAGTTTTTCCATAATCGAGATGAATCAAAACTTTATTTCCTTGTTTAAAATTCATGAGCCCCGAATTAATTTGTTCACGTTTAACAACATTCAACCTTTCCATTTGCTTTCTAATATATTCCCATTCTTTTGAAATATCATTTTTCATTTCCATTGGTTTCATGTTTATAGTTCTATGCCATGTATTATTGTAATAATATACTAACTGTTGTATGATGGAGTCATGATTTCCATCCCAGTATATCTGACCGTTAACCCCTAACGCATCTCTAAGAGTTCTCATTACCGCATCAACTATTTTATTATGAAACGTATATGGAGAGGATGAAAAGAAAAAATTAATTTGTGGGAAATAATGAGCCATAGTTGCCTGAAATCCTTTATCACCATCACCCCTGATATTATCTACTCTTTCATGATCTAGTAAGTATTGTATAGCTCTTCTTGTTTCCTGTTCTGTTTTCCTCTTCACTGGAATGCAATATAAATATCTAGTGTTAATGTTAATGGCAAATAAATAAGTAACTTTTCCTTTTGAATATTCCAGATGATCGATTTCGTATGAATATGGATATGGAGCAAATGAAGGGCGACTAAATTTTTCCTTTAACGGTTGAATTTTCGGGTCAATTGGTTTATTTAATATCTTGAAATCCTTTTTAAAATCTTTTTGCTTCTTTAATGTTTGAAATGGATATAATAAAGTGAATGATGAAGGATTAACTGAAGGAGGAGGTACTGTTGTTGGAGGTTTTGGTGTTGTAAGTGGTTTAATTTTATCTGCTTTGATTTTGGATGATGAAGTTTTGGATTTCATTCCCCCCTTCATTAATTCTGGATGTATTCTATTCATTTGTTTTAAATATGCTGTATATAAAGGTTTGATATACTTTCCCACTTCGAGTTTATGTTGAAGGATGAATTCCAAAAGTTGATCTTCATTTAAAAGTCGGGCTGAATATGGTTTAACTAATGAATCATAAATTAAAGCTTGTGCATCATTTATGGCCTGAAGGACCTGGGCGTTTTGCACCCTTTGTTTTTGTTCCTTTGGCTTTTGCGGCTCAGGATTATATAATTTATATAATTCATCAATATCTTCTTCTGTTAATACTTTATTTTTGAAATCTTTCAACTGTTTAAGTTGTGATTTAGTTTTTCCCTTTGTATATTCATTATTTTTAATTTTGTCTTTAATTTTAGAAATTATTTTATCATGATATTTCAAAATTTCATTTTTATAATATGGATAATAATAATCCATATCATCACCCGTTATATTTTTATTATGTTTTTGGAGATATGATTTTAATTCATAATAATTAAGAAAATTTTGATTAAATACTAAATCATCAATTAAAATTTCTAAATCTACGTTATCCATTTATATAAAAATAAAATAAATGTTTTAAGGGTGCCCACCTCTTTGAATCATAGTATCAAAACCATTATTTACATATTGAATCGCATCATTAACGGTTCCTTTTGTCTCTTCTGTGGCATTTTATTAAATAAATGGCATACAACATCCATTTTCACAACATACAGCCTTAGTGTGTGCTCCTGTTAATGCAGTCTTACCAATTGTTAAGCGAGTCATTGACCCATTTTTAAGTTGTAAATTAATATTCTGACCATCGAAAATAACTTTATCATTTATTATATCCAAATAATTTTTAGGTGTTAATTGTTTATTTTGTCGTAAACTAACACCTTTCATTTTTTGTGCAATCTTTTTAAAATCACTTCCATCAATTGAACCGTTGAATGATGTATAACACTTAGGGCATAAAGCAACCATGTTATCACCTTGTTTCTCAATTGCTAAACCCAATAACTTCTTCTCATGTGCTTTTTCTTCAGCTTTATTCTTTAATTTAGGTTTAAATTTCTCATCAAAACAGAAGAAATCAAAAGGTGCGAATTTGAAAATGTTTTTATCATAAAATTGTTTATCGGTAACAATTGCTTGAAATGCTTGAGTGTTAGGAAGATTTGGGTCGCCAGCGATTGCCCAATAAGATGAATCAGTATCACCTTCAATGAAATGAAAACGATTAAGATTCATGCATTTATACATAAAATCATAAATGAAAACAAATACCAGTATTTAGCATTATCTAAAGTGAAGAATGCCTCTTGTAAACATGTATCACATCTATAAAATCTATCTTTAAGCATCACTTGATATGTATCTTCACCTATTTCTCTTATGTTTTTAAACTTATTTGACATACATGCAACGCGTGACTTCTGTGCATTCATTATTTTAGTCTTTGTGTAATTTTGTGTATTCATTGCATCGTAACCATATGATCCATTAAGCGAAATCTTGCAAAATAAACTTTTTCCTTTATTTCCTTCTAATTCAGCCTTTTGTCTTTCATTCATAAATTTGTTCGCAAATTCATTAAAACAAGTGTTTTTAGTAAATGTTAAAATTGATTGAATGTCATCAATGATAAAATGAAATCTGTCGATTAGATACCAAAGATAATAAGAAGAAAATGGTTGATATTGGTTGTGTGTTGATGCTAACTGAGTTAATTTTCTGTTTCTGGTCAACTGGTAGATTGTTTGATTTCATGTAATTATACATAAAACTGCCAATTGTTTTTTCATCTGTGATAATATCTAAGTTTCTTATTATCGGTAAAAAGTTTATGTAATCATTAATGTATTTTTCATCAATGTGACCCTTTACTTCAGCCACGAATAAAGTATTTTCTTCTTAATTATTCCCAGTGCTTTTGCTTTCTTTGTTGCTGTATCACAAATGATAACACCATTCAATCTTCCCGGCATATACATTTTATGGTCAGTATATTGAATGAAATCATGAGGATTAGATGAAAATGATGAAGGATATAATGAATTAAAATCAACACCAACGAAATGAGTCATGATGTTGGAAGTGTCCTCATTTGATACAGTTTTCGTTTCTGGATTATATGAAAGTTTATTAATGTGCGTGATTCCTTTAAGATTTACTCTATGTTGAACATTTGATAAACCACCAGTAATTCCATTACGGAGAATGTGATAAGCTTCAACTGAATCTAAAGTCATTGGTAAATTATTTTTTAATGCATAATTTCTTAAATTGATTCTTAAACGTTGAACATCTTCATCTTTATTTGATTTTACGACATTGCAATAACAACACATTAACTGACAATTTTCTTTGGTATGTGGTTTTTCATTATCGATTCTATCCAATGTTGGTTTATTTGCATATGTAAACGCTTTACCACACATTTTGCATTTAGATGAAAGGATTAAATCGTGATAGTATTGAAAATCATCCATTGAAACATTGTTTTTAGTATCCCTTTCTGCTTTTTCATCTTGTTTCTTATATGATTCAATTTTATATTTCCAATACTTTTTCGTTAATTCAAAACTTGATTCCACATTTTCTTCTTCTGGATATGTTTCGTTAGGATTGAAGTTCTTATATGCTAACGCGTAACGAATCATTGATGCATTCGATGATAAAGAAAGATTATGAAGCATGTCAATTTTATAAACAAATGTTTCTTCGATAATTTTATCAATTGGGTCAATCATAATTTCAACATCTTTATTGCAATAATGAATAAAATATTCTAATCAATTCTTAAAATTTTTAGCATCATTGAGATATATTTGATAATCACTATCTGATATAGTTTCTTGAGTTAATGCTGAATAAAATGAATCTTTCGTGAATGGTTCCACTTTATATAATTCTTCTTCGTAATTCTCCCACGTGATGAATTGATAAGGGAAAAAGGATTTAACACGTGTTTTATTATTTCCGAAATCTTGAGTGAATTGGTCTAATGTCCCACCCGCTATATAATTTCTGATGTCAATAAATCTCAATTCATATGGAACGTTTGTTTTCTTTACAATGACTTGCTTAAATTGAGAAGAAGAACCCAGCATTGATTTTATTTTCCATTTTGCAGTATTTAAATCACGAAGAATTAAATTTAAATCAAACTTTCCCGAATTAAAACCTATGATATTCACTTTATTGAATTCCTCATCTAGAAGTTCTTTAAATGCTTCCTTCTGTTTTTCATTTAATGTTTGCGACTTCAATAATTCTTCATATTGTTCAATATTTGATTTAGCAACTAATGAACAGGTTGAAAATATAAAAACTCAATCCAATCAGAAATAAAAGAATCACTCGAAGTTAAGCAAAAATTCCTCGTATATGTTTTATCGTTTAATTTAACCGTTGATGATACCATGAATGGTTTTAAG